GGAACCTCAAAGTCCACTCAAGAAAATTTTCAGGTCAGAAATTTGATAATAAACTAGTTATTCTATCTCCAATTAAATCACCAAACAAAGTCAATGAATGATTAGGATGGTAACACATGCTGAGTCGCCTAACAAAAAGGTCAACCATCGTCGACATTTGTCCTAGTTATTTTGATGTTATTCCCTATAAATTTTTTCACATTATATGCTCTTATATACGTTTTAGAAATCAAAACGAAGGTAAATAAGGAATGTATTTGATCTGATTCAAATAAGGAAAAGTAATAAGTAATAAGTAATAAGAATAAGTTGAAGAAAATATGACCTAAGGAATGTATTAATTGGTCAACTAGGAAAAATAGTTAGAGATATATATATAAAAAGTGTTGCGAGAATATTCAGTTGAAAAAGTAGAACTACTATTATGTTTGTCTCACCTATCCTTCGTAGAGGAATGTAAAAGAATACTATTGAGGAAAATATTCGAATATTTTGAAATAAACGTAATTCGAAAAAAGTATTTTGTAAAGTATGACTCAAAACAACTTGATGATTGAATACCGCTAATCGCAATTGCCATCTCATGTGTATTAATTGTGTCCCTGTAACGCCCCAAATCCAGCCTAACAGAATTAATTGATTCATTATAATTAATTAATTATTGAGATGGACCCGGAGTTTATTTAAGATATTTGTCAATAAATATTAAAAGTTATACTGATGTGTTGGGTTCAACAAGACGAATCCAACGGTGCAAACATATCTGAATTCGGAGCTAGTTGGCCCGAAATGTGTAATTTTCCCGAGGTACGTATTTTAATTACGAAGCACAAAACCCTATAATATAAATGTATTCCCATGCATGCCGCCCCATAATCGCACGCCTCTCCCGATCTCTCTCTGTCGATAATTGCTGCAGCGCCCCAAGAAGAAGAGGAAGAAGAATAAGAAGAAGAGGAACGTCGCAGCCTCACCTTTACCGTCGTTCGTTAAAGTTGATCATAGTTTAATCCTTCATTGCTTCGAGATGAGTATGTGAAACCCTAACGGTAGAGTAAGCAATTAGGTTTGAAATCTACGTTCGTAATCGCTGCGATGATTGAATTGCATGTAAACCTATATGATATAATAATTTAGAAATTATTCTTGGGTTTTTGATGAAATCTACGGTTAGAACGTATGAACTAGCCGTATGAATTGGTGTGATATGACTTGGTAATGTGTAATATGTGTTTATTAGCATGTTTGACGCTGAATTGAGAGAATCGGGGTTGGTTATTGAACGGAAAACGAGTTGGTGCAGTGTTTAGGTATTTGTCGCGGCAGATGCATGGTAGGTCAGTACCGTCGAGACGGTACCAAGGTACCATTACCTCCCTAGTTCGAACCTCCCTCTGGTGATATCTTTCACCAACCGGTACCAAGTACCGGGCGGACGGTAGGCCCTACCGCCCAGCCGGTAGAGGCTACTGTGACAGGCATACCGTGCGGGGTAACATACATTTCAGTCAGTACCCACGTACCGTGGGACGGTACTTTAGTACCATGGGGACGGTACGCCTTACTACTAAGGGTACCGTGAGGTACCTGAACCGGACAGTAAATCATGTTTTGTCGAGGATGGATTCCGAGGCTTGTGTGTGTTGCATGACCGGAAGTAGGGGGTGACAACACCCCAGAGTAGCCCCTAGTTGCTATAATTCAACACATGTTGATCCAACACATGTGTGATTATATTGAATATATAACCCTGCCGTTGCAAGTATGAGTGGGCTGATCCAGCACACAGTAAATAGGTACCACGTATTGATCCAATGCGCTCGCCAAGGTAAGTCTACCTAGAGGGAATCCTCGGTACTAACATAAGTATTAGGAAAGTAAGATTATAAACCCGGTGGGTGCCTGCTGGGCTCCAATGGTTAAGTTAAACTAGGTAAAAACGTACGTACGGGAATCCTTGAACTGCCTGGTGATCCATCAGGTGGGGATTCCACCCACCCAACGGAGAACTCCTTCATTGGTTGAGCATGAGCCGCTGATCCAGTGGGAACAATCATGACTCCCAAAAGTAAAGTGTAAGTCCTTAGTCTAGAATAGATTATAGGTTCTTGGTGATCCACCAACCATGATGAATCTACAGGTTTGAGGAGAATGGAAACAGGCAAGTGTCAGGTAAATTGGGTGAATTGAACTGTATGTGTAACATATGTGTTGATTGCATGATATCACACGACTATTATGAACTGTGGATTTGTTTGATTGTTTACTTGACGTTAGATATTTTCTCACTCAGCGTCATTACTGACAGTATAGTTGTTTGTTTGCTACCCGTAGGTAATCAGGTAGAAGATGAACCTATAGTCGATTCTAGAAGGCGATGAGGAGGAGGGGATGTGGGTGGATTTGATTGGGGATTTGGAATCTATACTTATTTCTGAATGACTTAATCAATTTTTGGGCATGAGTCCCAAGCTATGTTGTTTTCAGTAGTTGAGCTTCTGCACTGTTTGATTTTACTCCGATAACATACTTGAATTTTATGAACTGTTTGGATGTTTAAATTGTTTTAGAAATGTCGTGTGTTTTGGATACCAGATTAGTAACAACTCGGTTCGCTAACCCATGTATACGGGTTATGTGGGTTGGGGTGTTACATTTTGGTATCAGAGCATATGGTTTTAAAATCAATCTTCGGATCACAAATAAATGATTTCCAAAAGGCTGTACCACATCTCTTGAGACTCATCTGCCAGGGTTAAAAAGCTTTGCCTATTATGTGTTGTTGGCTGATTAGGAAAGTTTGAATTCTTATAGAACGAGTCAAGCTTCAACTCACGGTCAGGGTAATACCCAACCTGTCAATGACGAACACGTTGATGCCCACACTGAGGGATCCAGCTTCGTTCCCCAACAAAACGCGGGGCAACAGCTGAAAGGTAACCATGCAAGGATAGGCAGCGGAATACAAAAATTTAACATCCTAACATGATTATCTTGCCCAGAATCACGTACTAAAACTTATAGTAGTAAAAAATTTATACCTTTCTCCATAAGCGGTAAAAACGAAGAAGTCGTAAGAAGAGCGTTGAAAGAGCAAACGTAACTGTTCAAGCGTCTGGTCTCTAACTTTGACACACGAACAACGCCGGAGTCTACCACAATCTTTATGCTAGTAAAGATTATAGTAGTATAAAATATAAAGATTAAAATTAGGATAATAATAATCTTGTATATTTCTTATAGAAAATATTTCTAATAATATTTAGAAAATATTATAGATATTTTCTATACACAAAATGATATTAATGGAACACTTAAAATAATTTTCTCTCACTAGAATCACAAATGGCCGAAAATCAAAAAAAGCTACATTAGCAAAATGGAGTGAATTGTTTAAATAAAACAAAGATGCTCCATTATTTTGTCATTAGCTAAATGACAAAATTAGTTAGTCCACTAATTTATCAATCAAGCAAAACATTAGCAATTTGTCAATCCATTTTATCATATGGCCGAAAATTTTGATTTGAGAAAGATATTTAAAATCCTTCTCCACTCAAATGTTCAAAGTGTATTTTATTTGACATCAAAAATTAATATAAAATTAATTTTAAATCAAATAAAATTACCAATATCATTTTAAACAAGTATACAAATATACTTTAAATAGTTTATGTCAAAATAATTATTTTCATAATTAAAATGACAAACCAAAATAAAATATTCAATATAATATATATATAATAATCGGCATATATATATATATATATATATATATATATATATATATATATATATATACACACATACATACATACATATATATAACCAAATATTTACATATATATATATAATATTACATTCCAAAATATTTTTATTTTACTATTTTTACAATGATACAAATTACTTATTATCCCATTGTTTAATCCTACTCCTTAAATTGTCCAAAGTGTGTGTCCCGTATATGCACTTATAAAACTGGCCACAGTATTTGCTCTGCACCAATACTATAAGCAATAAGCAGTATCTAGCAACACATTATTGCCCCCAAATTATAAGTTAAGACGTTTGCACCGTCAAAACCTTTCCACGACTCAGACTCCGTGTAACTGTATCCCTTTGTCTCAATGTCTAAACTTAATGCAAGGGATTAATAAAATCCAACTTGTATCCATTAAGTCATTCACTGATTTATCAAGTCTGACTAATAGGAACAGACGTCATAAAAGCATCTCAACATGGCCATGCAATTTCCTTAGTCATAACTTATCAGTGGGCCCATAAGACATTAATCTCTTTAAAAAGAGTAGTGACAAATCTTATGTACGTAATCTACGTTTCTGAATACGCGCTGCGGCATACCCAAAACAAAGCCTGTATACCATCCTTATTTCATATGGTTTAGGACAATGCATCAAAGCATGCGGGTTCACATATGCAGAAAACGTAATACTTCAAGTCGAAGGATAGTTACACCCGTGGTCGCGCTAAAGATGCTTAGAGCATGAACTAAAAATTCAAGAAACATCTTTAGGATGGGTCAGTCCGGCATCCTATTATCTCTAGATAATATCTGCCCATGTGCGGATGCGAACACACTATCATTGACTATGAGACTAAGTCAAACATCCAACACACACTAGTCTCACATGCATTAACGATATCCCACTCTCGTTAATACTCGACTATGGACATTCAGATAAATATTTATTTCAAGATGTTAGTCTCATCAGCAGAATAACACTATCTGATAAACATCTTTAAATATAAATCTAGGAATATAATATTTGTTTACATTAGCATGAGATGTGTAAACATATTATATCTNGTCATTGACTATGAGACTAAGTCAAACATCCAACACACACTAGTCTCACATGCATTAACGATATCCCACTCTCGTTAATACTCGACTATGGACATTCAGATAAATATTTATTTCAAGATGTTAGTCTCATCAGCAGAATAACACTATCTGATAAACATCTTTAAATATAAATCTAGGAATATAATATTTGTTTACATTAGCATGAGATGTGTAAACATATTATATCTACCTATACACGATAGAATAACGATAAACAGTTGGCCATCAGGGCACAACTCCAACAATCTCCCACTTGCACTATGGCCAATCTGGCATCGGTCGAATGCCCATGGACCTAGTGTGACCCTCATGCTTTAGCTTTCCTAAAGGCTTGGTCAAGGGATCGGCTATGTTGTCGTCAGTATCTACTTTGCAAATCATCACATCTCCTCTGTCTACGATTTCTCGTATGATGTGATAGCGTCGTACCATATGTTTGGTTTTCTGGTGAGATCGCGGTTCCTGTGCTTGTGCAATGGCCCCAGTGTTGTCGCAAAACAACGACATAGGGTCATTAATACTAGGAACCACTCCAAGTTCAGTAATGAACTTCTTGATCCAAACAGCTTCCTTAGCTGCCTCGGCAGCAGGTATGTACTCAGCCTCTGTAGTCGAATCGCGGTTGTATCCTCCTTGAAGCTCTTCCAGCTAAAAGCTCCGCCATTTAGGCAAAACAAATATCCTGCTTGTGATTTTGAATCGTCTCTGTCGGTTTGGAAGCTAGCATCAGTGTAACCGACCACCTTTAGCTCTTCCTCACCACCGTATACCAGGAATGCATCCTTAGTATTGCGAAGATACTTGAGGATGTTCTTGACCGCTGTCGAGTGTGCTTCCCCTATACTTCCCTGATATCTGCTGGTCACGCTTAAAGCGAATGAGACATCAGGTCTAGTACATATCATGGTGTACATGATGGATCCAATCGCAGAAGCGTATGGAACCTTCATCATGAGTTCCTTCTGCTCAGGAGTAGAAGGACTCTGGCTCTTGGAAAGAACCGTGCCAGGTGTCATAGGTAAAGATCTTTTCTTTGAGATAGACATGCTAAATTGATCAAGGATTTTATCTATGTATGTACTTTGATTTAGACCTATTAACTTTCTTGATCTATCTCGGTAGATTCTTATGCCAAGGACATATAACTAGCATCCCCTAAGTCTTTCATGGAGAAGTTCTCGTTCAACCACATCTTTACAGAAGTGAGAGCGGGAATATCGTTACCCATTAACAATATGTCATCGACATATAAGATTAGGAATACTATTACACTCCCACTGACCTTCTTGTATACACAAGATTCGTCAGAGTTCTTCTCAAAACCAAAACTGGAAATGGTTTCGTCGAAACGTATGTACCAACTCCGAGATGCTTGTTTCAATCCATAGATTGAACGTTGCAACTTAAAAACTTTGGCAGACTGACCAGCAATTTGAAAACCGTCACGCTGTGTCATGAAAACATCCTCTTTGAGGTTCCCGTTAAGGAAAGCCGTCTTCACGTCCATCTGCCAAATTTCGTAATCGTAATAGGCTGCAATCGCAAGCATTATCCGAATGGATTTCAGCATAACAACTGGAGAAGAGGTTTCATCATAGTCAATTCCGTGGATTTGTCTATAATCTTTTGCTACCAATCTAGTTTTGAAGGTATGAACCTTCCCATCTACATCTGTCTTCACTTTGAAGACCCACTTGCATCCAATGGGTTTTACCCCTTCGGGTGCATCAACCAAGGTCCAGACTTGGTTTGTGTACATAGACTCCATTTCAGATTTCATGGCTTCGAGCCATAGATCGGATTCGGGGCATGTAATTGCCTCGAGGTAGGTCTCTGGTTCGCCTTGATCTACCAACAAGACGTCACCTTCATCAGACATGAGAAATTCATATCTGACCGGAGGATTACGTATTCGGTCTGACCTACGTGGTATATCTTGAGCAATTTGAGGTTCAATTGCTTGATCTCTTTGCTCAGGTTCCAACACTATCGGGACTTCTTCTTGTGGTTCTCGAATTTCTTCGAGGTCTACCTTTCTCCCACTAGTGATAGCAGAAAGAAACTCCTTCTCAAGGAAGGTTCCATTCCGAGCAACAAAGATTTTGTTATTGGATGGATGATAGAACTCATACCCTCTAGTTTCCTTGGGGTATCCCCCAAAAATTACTTTATCAGATTTAGCCCCCAACTTACTAGACGTCATGAGACGTTTTACATAAGCTTCACAGCCCCAAATCTTAAAGTATGAGAAACTCGGTTTTCTCCCACGCCATAGTTCGTATGGTGTGCTCTCGATAGCTTTAGATGGAACTCTGTTGAGTGTGTGTGGTGCTGTTTTTAATGCATATCCCCAAAATGATTCTGGAAATGTTGTCAGACTAATCATACTCCAGACCATGTCTAGCAAAGTCCGATTTCTCCTCTCAAACACTCCATTTAACTGAGGTGTCTCCAGAGGAGTGAGTTGGGATAAGATCCCATGCTCTTTCAGATAGTCATCGAACTCCAGGCTTAGGTATTCACCTCCTCGATCCGAGCGGAGGGTCTTAATACTTTTGCGTAATTGTTTTTCTACTTTGTTTTTGAATTCTTTGAATTTGTCAAAGCATTCCGATTTGTGTTTCATGAGATACACATATCCATATATACTAAGGTTGTCAGTAAATGTAACGAAGTAAGAATAACCACCTCTAGGAACAGTGTTAATTGGACCACACACATCGGAGTGTATGAGGCTCAATAAGTCACTCGCCCTTTCACCGTGACTGGTGAATGGAGCCTTTGTCATTTTGCCAAGTAAAAAAGATTTACATACATCATATGACTGGAAGTCAAATGAATCAAGTACACCGGAACGATGTAACTTATATATGCGTTTCTCGTTAATGTGGCCCAAACGACAATGCCATAGGTACGCGAGATTCAAACTGTTAGGTTTGTTTCTCTTAACATCTACATTATATATTGCGGTATCCATGTCAAGGACATAGAGACCGTTGGTCATTTTTGCACTTGCATAAAATATATCATTTCTAAAGACAAAGAGTTTTGTCTTTTACAACGAACGAAAATCCTGCTTTGTCAAGCCAGGATACAGAAATGATGTTTCTGCTCATACTAGGTACAAATAGACAATTATTCGAATGCAATATAAGACCACCAGGTAGAGATAAACTATAGGTTCTGACGGCTAATGCATTTACGAGTGCGCCATTGCCGACTTTTAGTTGTATCTCTCCCTCCGTCAATTGTCTACATTCATGCAGGTCCTGCATAGAAGTACAGATGTGAGAACCACATCCAGTATCCATCACCCAAGAGGTGATATCAGACATATTGACTTCGATAACGTAAATACCCGAGTTTTGGGGCTGACCCTGGTAAAGGTCTCTTAAGCGTTATATCATAGGACGCACTTCCATGTCCGCGTGGAGCCTTTGGAGCTCCGCGGTCATACTGGCCATAATGATATACTTTACATCTCGCGCGTCATCCTCATACTTCTTGAAGGAAGTGAGTTCAGACGCACGAGCATTAGCATCAGGGGTCTTGAGAGGATCCGTTTCGAGGATGTAGAGTTTCCTCTCACAGTTAAGAACGATTAAGAGGTTCATCTCTCAGTCAAGAAAGTTGGTCCCGGATAACTTGTTGTTTTCCAGGATGTAACGCAGGTTGAAAGGGTTGTTGTTGTTTGCCATCTACAGAAAATTTTGCAAACTAGGTTATCTATCATGTTTAATAATTAATTAGGCCTTTAATTAATTATCTCCCACTATTTTTAACAAATCAATAACCCTCGATATTGATTCGGAGATTTCTGCCGAAACCTCTAGTGGGCCAAGATCCATATTTCATTATCTTGCATTCCGTTTGGGCGTTACTCTACAAGACAACTATTTAGGTAGGAACATAGTTCCAACTGATGAGCC